ACTATATAAGTTTGCTCATTTTTATAAATTAAGGGTAGTAGTTTAATGATTATATCAGACATATTTAAAGAGCGTTTGTTTAAGATTAAGATTAAGGGGAAAAAAGTGATTTTAGTTAAGAAAAATGAGGGATGAGGGAGTTGCTAGGAGGCCTATAGGCTAAACATGATTTTGTTGGGGGAATTACTCTTTTAAGCTTATATTGTGTTAGGCTATTCCAAATACTCCATTCGTTTGATATTATAAAAGTGCTTTATAAGACTAAACGGAGAGTGTGGCTTATTTAAAATAAGCTAAAAACAAATTTTATCTCATATTTAATTACCCAAAATTTCTCCCAACCTTATTTAGTTTAACTAAATTTTTTCTTAATCTGCCCTTAATTTTAGAGCGATAATTTATTCATAGTTTGTGAGTATATAAAAGTTGTCATGTGCTGTTTGGATGAGCTGACATTTCATTGATGTATATATGAGACAGATTTGATATTGGACATACAATTAAAAAAAGAAAAAGAAAACTAAAGTTAATTTAGTCTAAAAATGTGTAGATTATATTCTAGCAATTCAATATGAATTTTAAACTATACAATAAGTAATGCCATATCCTGCTAGGTTTTTGTGGCTGCAATATTAAAGAGAAAGGTTCATAGAGACCCAAACCAATAATGTTGGCCAGTCTGCTAGCTTACTTAGAGACGGTCTGGGTCACAAGAACAAGTTCAGGTACTTCTACTGGTTTTCTATCTTTCTGTTTTATCTAATAATTTTTATCCTTAATATTTTGAGTAGATATGTTTTTTAAAAAATAATATTTAAACACTTGAAAAATGAATTTATCAAACGCACAGTACTTACAGACATGGGAGCCCACTCCTATCTCCCTATCTCGATAATTTCATCTCCCTCGCACCCTTCAAGGTTGTAAACCAAAGGGAAAACAATCTCAGCAAACATATATACGGCGCTTTTGAAAGCCAGGGACCCCAAAAAACAAAAAAATATTGCTCTTGAAATCACTGTTTTTTCGTAGTTAGTCATCTCTATCACTTTAAGCCCCATAGAAATAGAAATAGGCCTTCGCTTTATTTCTCTCTTTTCTCTTAACTAGAATTTTTTTGGAACCTTAGAAAACTTGTTAGTATTATCATCAACCACCTAAACTAATCCAAACCCCTGTTATGTGAGATTATTAGGAATGTCTTTGCCATTTTTATTTAATGCAGCTACATATCTTAGGACTAAAAATTGAGACCCCAATATTAGCTAATTTGACTAGCTTAACTAGTTGAAGCAAGCATCCTTTTGTCATTTTTTCATTCTGTTCTTACATAAATCACTATATGCTCAAATGCTTAGAAATTACCCTCATTTCAGATTTTGGACAAAGCATGTATAAAAGTCTAAGGTGAGACTGGTCCGGAGGAAACTCCATGGAGATTATGTAAGCATTATTCAAGTTGAGCAAGTGAATAGATTACTCTCAACGATCCCCATCTTTGCTTGCACGATCATCTTCAACACAATCCTAGCTCAACTCCAGACATTTTCAGTCCAACAAGGATCTTCCATGGACACCCATCTTTTTAGAACCTTCCAGATTCCTCCAGCTTCCCTCCAAAGCATCCTTTGCATGTTTCTCATTCTCTTGGTCCCTCTCTATGACACTTTCTTCGTCCCTTTTGCCAGAAAACTCACAGGCCATGACTCTGGTATCTCCCCTTTAACCAGAATAGGGTCTGACCTCTTTGTAGCTACTTTTTCCATGGTCTCAGCATCTTTAATGGAGAAAAAGAGAAGAGATCAAGCTCTGAACTTCAACCAAAAGCTTCACATTCTTTGGATTTATACACCACAGTTTTTGATTTTTGGCTTGTCTGAGATGTTTATAGCAGTGGGACTCATAGAGTTCTTTCACAATTACAGTCCAACATGAAAGGAATGGAAGCATTCTTGACTTCAATCACTTATTGTTCATACTCTTTCGGGTTTTACTTGAGCTCAATTTTGGTTTCTCTGGTGAATAAGATCACTAGCACAAGTTCTTATGGTGGGTGGCTTCATGGAAATGATCTGAACAAAGATAGGTTGGATTTGTTCTACTGGCTGCTTGCTGCTTTGAGCTTTCTCAACTTCCTCAACTATTTGTTTTGGTCACGATGGTATTCTTCTAGAAAATCTCAAGATCGTGAGTGATGCTGGAAATAATTAATCTTGGAGATTATTTATACTTTGTAACTTCATTTTGAGTAAAATTATACTTATGCATAGTACTCTATCACGAGTTCTACATAGGAGAGCCTCACAAGTATTGTGAGGGGTTCTCTCACCCAACAGGCTAGTCTTTTGGGATGAACTCTTTCTTTGGGCTTGTGCTCGTCACATTGGTACTTTCATTGAGAGTTTGGTGTCACGGAAAGGGTTACCCATAGAGGGTTCTAACCGGTAGAAAGCTGAGTGAAGCTGCCGTGGACGTCGGCTCTTATCGAGATGGTATTGTCACATATTTTGATGTCTATTTATATTAAGGCATTGAATAAATTTTATGATGCCGCTTGGAGGAAGATCTTTATAGCCATACCTTTAATTTAGGGAGAAAGAAGGCATGATGGAATATTGACATGATTTGTGTTATATATTGATAGAAATCTTGCTAATTGTGTACTACTTAAATCAATTTTTTAAGATTTTGATTAGAATAATGTTCATGCAAGTTTTAACTATACATGTTCAGTCTTCTTCTTAAATCAATGCTACGTGTACTATTTATTGGTGATTCTATTCAAAATTTATTATTAAATTAATTCATGGTTATAGTGTGTTAAATAATTATAAAAATAGCAAAAACCATGTTCATATTTGTTATGTAAAACAAGTTAATAAAAGTTTTATGTCTTTTGCTCTGACAAAAACAATTTTAATAAAAAAATTGATTAAGTGTTATTTTTTTTCAAACTGATTGGTTTGATTTGATTGATATTTTGACTAAAATTGAACCAAGCCATTTCTTTTATCACTTTACACTTGATTTGTTTTTTATTAATTAAGATTGATTTGGTTCAGCTTTTAGGAAGTTTGGTTCAATTTTATTTATACATAGATAGAGTTTTAATATTTTTTTAACAAATAAAATTATATATTAAGGCTAAGTATAGTTTTTCACTCTCAGTTTTTTTAATATACATTCCAACAAATCCAACTTTAAGTCATATCATCGATTTTGTCATTCACGAGTGGAAATAAACATCATATCCAAAATAAAAATATTCAAAATAAACATTAGGATATATGCATTTGTAAGCAATATGCGTTAACTTTTTATTACAAATTCTCTTAATGCCTACAATGAAAAGTAACTCATTTTAAATAAAAAATTATATCTAAAATTATTAAAAGATCGCATATTGTTGAAGTAACTTGAGTATAGGCATTTGCCTGTCTAATAGAAAAATTAAGAAATGAAGGATTAGGGATCCTATTAAATATTTTGAGTTTGGGCTGGACTTTGATTGAATTTAAAATTAAAAAATAAATACTAATAGTTTAATATTAATCATAAAAAATATAGAAGGTATGATTCATGTCTGGTTAAAATTTTAAAGAAAAAATATTGAAACTTAAATCAAACTGTGTGATTTTTAATTTATAAAATCAAAACAAACCTTACTAATAATTGATTTATTCAATTTTTATTGGATTCGTGTGGTGCGGTCATCAGTTTTATTCAATTTTGCCCGCCCTTATCAAATGTTATTGTTTTTTTTTTTTAGTGTAAAGAGTTCTAAAATACATTTTCAAATAGTTTGAAATGAGAAAAACAATTGTGTGTATAGTGAATTAGTGAGTGGCATACGTGTTGGAAAAAAAAAATTAGAAGCTTTTTTTACATTTCAACTTTACTCAGAGAGTTATTGGACACTCTAAACTCAATTATAAGTTAATTTTATTCTTCAATGTTAAAGATTTTTTTTCTCTATCACCTTATCATTTTGTCGGCTATTCATGTTAGTAGGCCCCACATTTTATTTTTTTAATATTTTTTATTATAAAATATTGAGTTGATAGTACCCGCTAACTCTTTTAGGTAAAAATGAGAAATGAAAATGACCCTTAACCTAATAAAAAATTAATAAAATATATTTAAAAATGGTGAGACTCACTAATGACAAATAGACTTTAGGTGTTTTTAATGTGAGGATGATGTGAAAGAAAATCTTTGACATTGAAAAATAAAATTAATCTATAATTAAATTTAGGATGTATAATAATCATTCGAGTAAAGTTAAGAAATAAAAATGACTATTGATCCAAAAAATAAACCTACTATATCAAGTATCAAGCACTCAAACAACACGATTGCATTTGGTGCTTAGTATCACGTGTTCATCAGCCCAAAAGCTTATTTGGTTCCTCCAATTTATCTCAAAATAATTTTTGTTGTTCATTGTAAATTAATTTTTAAGTATTTGTTATATTATATTTGTCAAACTAAAAATTTTTAAAATTAATATTAAATATATAATATTCAGAGTATCTTTAAATAGTCAATTTATAAAAATTATAAAAATTTTAATATTAAATTAAATCACCCATATATTGATAATATTAAAACTGCACAAGAATAGTCAATTTATAGAATTAAATAGTCAATTTAAATTAAATATATACTGACCAAATTGATAATGAATAAATTTATTTAAAAAATTTAAGTTTGATAAAAATAAAAATAAAAAACTGAATTTGAATAGTACAAATTTCATTAAGAGTGAGTGATGAGTAATTTGACATCTAATTTTCGGCGAGCACCCAAGATTGTCTAAATTTTTATTTTACTAAATATATTATTAAAAATATTTAAAAATTAATTTAAATGATAGGAAGAAAAAATTATTCTGAGACAATGAGAACAACATATTAATTTTTAACATTTTCCCGAACATTCCTTCACCGAAAGTCCATCCTCTCTCTCTCTCTCTAGACAGTCCCAGATGCTTCTCTCTTTCTTTCCTTTGGACTGGAAAATCTCAAGAAAATTCCAGAGACCCAAACACATATCTCCTCCTGCTGCTATATAAGAACCTCATCTTTCTCGCTCGTCTCCGCTATCCAAACATCATTAACTCATCGTTACTAAATCCACATTGAATCCAGTTCTCGCGTACTCGATCGTAAAACCCAAACAATGGCTTCCAGAACTTTGATTTCCACTTTCCTTCTGATAGCATCAATGTCGTCCCTTTTCTTCCAGACCAGCGAAGCCCTAATCCCCTACACGAGAAGCGTCTGGGACACAATGTTCCCATCGGAGGATCCATTCAGGATCCTCGAGCAATCTCCGCTCAACATTCCTCGAAACATGGAGACGTCGCCTCTGGCTCTGCTGGCACGCGCCGATTGGAGGGAGACGCCAACGGAGCACGTGATCGCGGTGGACATTCCAGGGATGAAGAAGGAGGACGTGAAGATCGAGGTGGAGGAGAACAGGGTAGTGAGGATAAGCGGCGAGAGGAAGGAGGAGGCGGCGGAGGTGGAGGGAGAGAAGTGGCACAGAGCCGAGAGGACGAACGGAAAGTTCTGGAGACAGTTCAGAATGCCATTGAACGCGGATCTGGATCACATCAGAGCGAGGATTGAAGATGGCGTTCTGAGAATCGTTGTGCCGAAGCACAAAGAAGAGACGAAGAGACAGCCTAGAGTGATCAACATCGCCGAGGATCAAGCTGCTTCTGGAGAAGATGTTAAGGCTACGAAGGCTTCAGTGTAAGAACATCAATGGAACGTGGAAGAAGATATGAATATGAATTTTGATGCACATACAGCTTTATCGGATGCTAAGTTTAATTCGTTGTCTTTTATGTTCGTGAAGTTTTTGTTAAAATCTACTGATGCTGAGAGAATAATTTTAAGGAATAAAGAAATTACTGCGTGACAAGTTTGTTACTTCTGATGATCTTGATGTTTAAAACGAAGAAAGAAAATGTGTGCTTGAATATTTTTACGTATGCTGGATAGGTTGTGTGTTGTAAATTATAAGATATTTTTAAATAAAATTTTATATATTAATAAATTTTATTGAATGTATTTTATAATTTTATTTTTTAAAAATAAAAAATAAATTTTTAAAAATATTTATTGTTTAATATTTTAAAAAATAAATTAATTATTACATTTAAAATTTAATTTATTTAAAGTTTTTCATAATTTAAATTTTTTTAAAAAATATTATATAATTTGAGATGAAATTAAAAAATTATAAAATATTTATGTCAATGTTGACTCCATAAGTGAGAGAGAGAGAGAGAGAGAGAGAGAGAGAGAGAGAGAGAGAGAGACTATTAATTAATAATTAACTTGATTATTTTCAAAATAATGGTGATTCAATTAAAAGATTTTGACTAGGAGGATTAATACTTGAAAGTAAAAAAAATATGTAACATTTTAATTTTAAAATTAATGACTATAATAAATTGTTATTTAAAAATTTAAATGACAATAAACGTATAACTAGTAGCTACTCTAATTTTGTCTTCTATTTGGGATCAGAAATTGGAAAAGTATGTGTTTGTGTTGTCTGTTATAATATTAATTACGTGTTTTGTTTATGTTTAAAATTATTAAAATTTTGGTTTTAATGGAAATAAACCATTTTGTGCTTTCATTAAAATTGTAGTTTTGACTATAATTATGATGAAATCAAGCATTTTGTTATGTTGCTATGTTGATAATAGGGGAAATGTTAACTAGAATTTGATAGATGTTGGATAAAATGTCTATGTTGTTCTTGAGGAGGTTCATGTAAAGTCTTTTAAGTTCGTAATGTGATGAAAGAAAGTGTTGATCTGGATAACGATGCTAGTTGAATAATTAATTTGTTCTTTTTTTTTTTTTGTTCTTGAGGATTTATGGTATTTTGTTGCTGTTTTATTTACTTTCTACCCATAAACGTCATATTAAATTTTAAGAACTCAATTTGAAATATTGTCATTAAATTTTTTTTAAAAAATTATGCTTCTAAGTATTTCAGTAATGCTTTTTCCTTAAAAAAAAAAAAAAGACAAAGTGTGCGAGGCTGGAAAAGAAGGTCGTACTGTCCTGTTGCCCACACCCCATAACATTTTCGTTTCTTTTCCTTTTTATTTTAATATGATAATCAATCCCCATTAATTTTGATAAGGCTGATTTTTTTACAAGTATTTATTTATTAAAAATAATTCTGTTTTAGGCATTATCAAATATTAAATATTGGCATTATTTTTAGAGTGTGTTTAGTTTAAAAAAACGAGAGGTAATTTAATTTTACTTTATATGATTTTGTTGGAAGAAAAGAGGAAGATTTTTAATAATTTTTTATTTGGATTAGAAGGAGAGAGGAGGTAATAACTAATTTATTATTATATTTTTATATATTAGTTTAAAAAAATTTTAATTGTTTCTTGTAAAAAATAATTTTACACTTTAATTTAATTTGTATATTTTTTTAAAAAATTTACTTTTATCCTATCGTATTGTCAATATGTGAATAAAAAACTTAAAACAATAATTATAATTATAATAATTTTTTATAAAAAATAAATAAAAATATGATGAATTGTAATTTTTTTAAAAAAATTTAATGAGGTCAATCAAGGCTTAAGAGTGAAATATAATTTGATATAAATGAGAGTTTTTTTTTTAAGTTTTGGATATATTCAGAATATTAAAAAAATAAATAAGGATAAAATAGTTAAAAAAAATTAATTTCCCTCCAAAAAACTTTAATTTAGAGGGGAGGAGAGGGACTTTTTAAAACCTCCCAACCAACATATTTTTGATGAGATTTCAAGTCTTAATTTATTACATCATGAGAGATTAATTTTTTTGTCAGGTCCAACTCGTTGGTTTCATATCGTTGATTTCCACCATGCAGGGCAATATGAACTGGCCCAATAAATTCTTCTTTTTGGCGCAGCCCAATTAATTCTTTATTTCACAGAGTAGGTCGTTAAGCCCAACAAGCAAGAGGTTTGGTTTTGGATTTTAAATTAGTTAATAGGCCGATAAGTCCAATCTACAAGCTGGTCCAAACACATTTCATTAGGCGTCAAATAATTTTGTCAATCATGCTGTGTTTTTTTTTTTACCCAAAAAACAAATAGTCAACAGTTAGCTGTTGAGTTCAAGTGACAATTCTACCTCCTTAAAAAAAAAAAATATATATATATATATATTCTCAAATTCATATCCAGTGTTGATATGTTTGTATGTGTATGTGGGTGTGTATCTTCTTATGGGTGAAATGTTAGGTTAGAGGTAAAATTTAAAAAAAAAAATGAAAAGAAAACAAATAAAATATTCATCCAGATGGTAAAATAATTTTTTTGAAGAATAATAATTAGAAAATCTTACCACAAGGATGAAGAAAAAAAGACCATTCATTCTGAAGACATGGCAGACAAACAGTGCGTAATTTACAATAAAATAAACTAAATGGAGATAAAGAAAGGAGACAAATTGCAAGCACTTGGTGAACAAAAGATTATCGACTTTTTCAAAAAATAATATATTATCGACATTACTGTACATAATCTGAGAGAATAAAGTTATCAGAAATTGATTTAATATTAAAAAAATGGCACTGAAAAGTATGACTGTCATGCCATTCTTTTACGAGGACTTGTCATTTATTGTGGCTTTTCTGTTTGTTTGGCTGAATCTATTGTTGTTTTTAAAATACAAAAAACAAAAACTACAATTGATTCAAAATATTTTGATACCGTTGGGCAACTGAACCTACTAGTTTAAAAGTCCAGTTTGCTGGTTGATAATGTAGAAACAATAGACTAAGGGTACATTTGATTTTTCTCCGTTTCACGTTCAGAAAGTAAAATTTTACTTTCAGAAAGTTAAAAATTATTTGGGTAGAATATTTGGCAGAAAAGCAAATCCTAAAAGTACATTCAAACAATAGCTGAAAGTGAATTTCTAAAACGTAACTATTTGAAGCTTTTGAAAAGTGAATTTAAAAAGTAGGATGTTATTTGACCATACTACCCTAAGTTTAATCTCTTATTTTTTATTTAAAAAATAGTTAATTCATTAAAAATATAATTATCATTTTAATAATAATAATTAGGTATCAATTTTTTTAGTATTATAATTGAGTAATTAATCATGTCAAATTTTAGCATTAATATATAATAAAAATTACAAATCTTTATTACATCTTTTAAAATTAAAAATTAAAAAATATAAATAATTAGAGATCAAATTTTTAGCATTATAGATCAAAATTTATGTTATTTATAATCTTTATTATATTTTTAAATATTTTGAATATATTACATTTGTATAATAAAAATTATAAATCATTATAAATTAATGTCCTTTTTGGTAATTGCATATTTAAAAGCACATCTCACTATCACAAACCAAACAACTTTCAATGTATCAAACTGACTTTTGAAAAAATATATCCAAACACAAATTTTGTTACAACAACTGACTTTTATTAAACTGACTTTTATTAAATAAACTTTCACCAAATGAATTTTTGACAAACTGAAAATCAAACGCACACTAACTTCAAGTAATTGGTCAACTGCTTGACCACATCATTAATATTAAAAAAAAAAATCCATCGGCTTGTTGACGAAAGTGCCAAAGGCAAACTTGTCCTCAAAATACCCAATCAATTGCTATCGGATATAGTTATGTTTATATTAATAAAGTCTTTATTTTCATAAAAAAAATATACTTTTTTATTAAAAAATATAAAATACTTTTAATTAAATTTTATACTTTAATAAAGTAACTATTTACTTTTAAATTAATCCTATCTTCTTATATTTACTCCTATTAAACATCCTATAATAAATATAAAGTTACTAGGTACTTTTAAAAAAAGATAATAATTATATTTTAAAAGACTAAAATATTTTATATTTTTTAACATTCAATTCCTTAAAAAATACTTTACATTTTTAAATAGAGTGAGTATTATTTTTTATCTTTAATTTTCACTTATGATGAATGAGAGAATGCTTTAAATTTACAGACACAATAATTTAGATTAATAAATATCATGGCTGAAATGATATTTTTTTTACAAATATTACATTGCTTATATTTTAGATCAAAATTAGTTAAAAATGTTTATATTTTAAAAGAGAGATTATATTATATCATTTGGTTTTTATATATTACTCTCAATATGTTTCAGTGAAATTAAAAAAAATTTCAAACTTATTAATTTTTTCTCAAAATTAACAAATTTTTAAATTTATTTTTATTAAATATACACACTTTAATAACACACTACTTTCAAACTAAAATATCAAGTGTTGATAATTAATTTATAATTCTAAAAAATATTAGTTAAAATTTTAATTTTTTTTTAAAATTTATATCTCTTTAATTTTATCGTCACTAAATACTTTATATAAATTATTTAATAATAATAATTAAAATTTTAATATATTATTTTTAAAAAATAATGATAAATGAAGTAAAAGTATAATTAAGTAAAATTTTTAAAAAATAATTTATATTATAGTTTGAAGAAAATATTTTTTTCCTCTGACAGTTAATGGAAGATATAAAAAAATTGTAAATGTGTGTAGTGTTGAGCTTGAAGTAGATGTCATCTTTTGGGGTTTGGCAAAAGTCAGTCAGTCTGGCTTCTTCAGTAACTTGTGAATCGTGATACCTGACTTAACAGTAACCTAGTGGCTAGGAAATTGTATGTCTGTACCCGTTTGTATTAATTTATTTTATAAAAATTACTTAAATTTTAAACATTTATTTTATAATATTTGTTTTAAATTTTTAAAAATAATTAAAATAAAAAAATTTAATTTTTTAAGAAAATATTTTAAATAATTTTTTAAAAAAATTTAATACAGTAAATAAAAAAATTTTTTTAAGAAGTGAGATAAACAAAAATATATATAATAAGATAATAAAAAAATACATTATTTTTTTAAAATAAAATGAAAAATATCATAAAATTTAAAAATAAATATATAATAA